AAAAATATGTATTTGACAATGCTAGAAGAACCAATATTTAATTCAGAACATAGTTAAATATCAAAAGTGTATATTCTTATAAGATTTCAAACCTCATGTTATACAAGAATTTTACAGTAAGACGAATGTACGATTCAAACTACCATCTTATAATAAAATACATATTAAATATAAAAAAACTGATTGTGAGTAAGATCTTCTATGATTTTCATAGGATTCTTCTTCCTGGGCGAGATTGAGGGTGGGTGGGTGTGGCTGTTGGTGTGGGGGTGTGGGCGTGTGCGTTGTGCAAGAGCAGACTCACACCCACACTCAGACCCCTAGTTGTACAACATGGTTCAGTTAATAATGTTACACCCTTGTCAGTATCATTCGTACATTTCATTGATGTCACTTTCAACATACTCTGATAGATCTATGATTACCAATACTGTACTCGTTTTCATTAACAGTGCTAACATTTTTCTATTTGTATATTAGTACTCGGCTGAAGAAAAGAGCTGCAGTGAACTACATTTTATACTGCTATCGATTGAACAATGCACGAGAGACTGGTTCGTCTTACAGATTGTGTTTGAAAAAGAAACAAAAGTCAGAAAACATTTATGCTTCTTTTATCGAAAATATTCCATCACAATGATTCAAAGCTCCTTGATCACTAACTCTATAAAACTTATAGTTTTAGACCGCATACATTCATTGTCAATCAAAGATAAGAAAATGCTCTTGTCATTGATTGTTTTTCAAGAAAAGAATACTTATTTATTCACTTTATGTCTTACTTGATGATAAGAGGCTATCATTGAAAGAAATCTTCCATAAGTTATAACAATTTGTTTACATGGACATGAAAGTTCAGTTGGATATTTCGCTTGTAATTGTTCAAAAGTGATAAGAGATGGCGATAGTACAGTCATAGTAACTGTTATCTCACTCAAGCCATTGAAGATTATGAGAATGAGAATGCATGACGTGAATAATATGATATAGATACTACTTGCGACGATGGCCATCGGATAAAATCATTCCATTTGACTGACGGAAGATTCTTTCTGGAACAAGTTCATATTTGATAACCATTGTTTAATATGGACGAAACCCGACATTATTAAATTCCAAATGTCTACGAGACAACAATAAATAAATCATCTCAGATTATATCATGTTAAAACATAAAACGGTGTAAAAATGTTCGTTAAAAACATGGAGTGTTCCTAAATTTTCTTATCGTTAATCACACGTTCCATTACTTGTGAATTTAAATATTCTGATTTTCTATCGCCAATCCATACTCAGCAACTGATATTCGTCTTTTTCTTAAAATCATGATGTAACGACTAATTTTTTTCATTGATAATCTTGAAAAGTAGTAAAAATATTGAATTTACTCAGAAAACTAACTTTCTTGGTCCAAATCATTGATTTCCTTGGTTTTTCTCTTTTGCTTTTTTTTCTGTCCACGTAAAAATATTTGTCAATCTAGTACAATAGATGACTTAGAGTAATTAACGAATTCACGAAAAACAGAGATCACCTTTTTGGACCATGATAATATGTTAAACTGTAAATCGTAGTAGAAAAAATGTTACTAAGCCCAGGTATTGATGCACACATACTTTTTTCATGTGTTCATTTCGTATCTTGTGGGTATGAGCGGGAAAATATAGTTTTAACATTATTTTAAAGTGTAACTTTATTAGAATTTGAAAAAGTATGTAATAACATGGACTTACACACCCATGTCATAAAAATCG